GGTTATCGGTCAAGCGTCCGCACATATATATTATTAGGTTGGTAATCAAACCCACATACTCACTAAGAGGCAAGCTTTGTAGGTGCTTAGCGTAGCCTAGCAATGTATAACTATGACTTTCCTCCTTTATAGGTGAATCTTGCTATCATGATCCTGATGCTGCATAAGGAGATTGGTTCCCACTGCATGAGAGAGAGCCTTCGATGTTCTTGGAGACATCATGATAACCACTCCCTCAGTGTGCTCGTGGTTGTCGTCTGGGTGACGATATCAAAGTAGATTAGTGACTCTCCAGTTGGCAGTTTGGACAGTTCACTTTTATTCCACCTGCTATTGCAGATTCCTAGCACTTCAATAATATATCTTCTCATCTCCTTTGCAATCTGGGCTCCCTTGGTAGGTTCAAACATAGTGTGGAAATTCCATGTCCCCAACCTTACTTTCGCTTTCATCGAGAGAAGGCACATCTGCCAATTGGCTTCCCGAAGGCTTTCACCAACTGGCGTCATTTCGTCCTCCGATTTTAGCGAGGAATAATTTTGTTTTAATTTTTATATTTTGTTTGTCTTTTGAAGTTTCTTTAGCGATTGGATTGGCTTTGAGGGGTGAGGTTGCCAGACCTACGCCCAAACTTCCGTCTTTACCCGGGCTCAGGACCAGCTAGTAACTAGTGAACAAGTTAACCAAGATATGCAAAAAGCGACATCCACTTCACCAGACACCAGGACACACTAAAAATCAGATCGATTTTATCTCAATGTGAAGAAAGTGGAGAAACAGCCTACTTGACTCAAGGTCAAGAAGAGGAGCAGATGTAGGTTCACACCACTCACTATCTAGTGCAAGGAACCTTCCAAATCAAGTTGAAAGCCTTCAAAGCAGTTGGTGATAGACCACAGTTCAAGTTCAATACCCAGAATAGAAAGTGAAGGATGAAACTACATAGGACATCTTCACGTCAGCCATCAAGACAACATGGGAGATATCGAGCAACATCCTGAAGAAACCAGTGTGGAAGAATACTGGAGGTCTTTGAAAGAGATGTGGAAAGAAACCTGCACAACCGTATTAGGAAGGAAGAAGGAAGATGAGGAATGGATGTTGATGGATACATGGAAGGTGATAGAGCAGGGAGAGGAGGATGGTGGAGCAGAAGATAAACCGGTGCAAGCAAGGATGGACAACGAGAAGAGGAACTGAGTACAACTTATAGAACAACACACTGGACAAAGAAGTGAAGAATAGTGCACGGAAAGACAAAAGACACTTCTTTCTACGATACACTGGCAAGTGAATCAGAACAGGCTGCTGGTGGGAGAGACCTGACATCTTGTATCAAATAACCAGGTTACTATCTGGTAGGGAGGAGATCAACACAAATGAAACCATTGAAAGATAGTGAAGGAAAGCTAGTTATCAAAGCACAGTAACAAAGTAGCTGATGGGCTGACTACTTCAAAAAGCTCTTGAATCGACCACCACCACCTGCAACTCATCCAGACATACCACATGCAGCCACAGAACTACCAGTGAACACAAGCCCTCCAACAAAATCAGAAGTCCTGGATACCATAAAACTGCTGAAATGTGGGACAGCAGCAGGACCAATGGAATTCCTCCAGAAACACTGAGATTAGATGCAGAGACAACAGCCGACATGCTCACATCACTACTGCAGAAGGTGTGGAAGGTAAAGAAGGTACCTGGCGATTGGAAGAAGGGCTACCTTGTCAAACTCCCAAAGAAGGGCGACCTAAGCCTTTGCAAGAACTGTGGCGGAATCATGCTGCTGTCCGCTCCAAGCAAAATATTATGCTGCATCATACTGGGGAGACTAAATCATCCTCTGCATTCCAAATTACATCCGGAACAGGCTGGCCGGCCGACTGGCTTCAGGAAGAACAAATCATGTACGGATCAAATTGCAGCGCTATGTTTCATCATAGAACAGAGTATAGAGTGGCAGTCAACTCTCTACCTCAACTTTATCGACGTTGAAAATGCCTTGAATAGCGTCAACCGAGAAGTAATTTGGCAGGCAGCTGTCTCAACACTACGTTTTTAGTGCCACATATCGTTATCAACCTCATTCAACGGCTATATGGAAAGGCCACATGCCAAGTGATCCACAATGAAGAGTTCAGTGATGCCTTTGAAGTGAAGACAGGAATAAGACAAGGCTGCCAACTATCTATCACCGATCACCTTCCTGATTCCAGTCGACTGGATCATGCAGCAAACTGTGAGGAGCTAGAAGAGGGGCATACGCTGACTGGACCGACTGAAAAGACCGAGGAAGATGATTTGGATGTCACCAGTGATGATTTATGTCTAACGTCGCACAAACGTGAAGATCTACGAGCGAAAACCAACAAGTTGATAGAAGAGGCGTGGCAGCGAAAACAGGACTTCCTTCAGGTGAACATGGTAAAGACGGAGGTGATGAATGTACCCAATCAACAAGCATCAATCACCATCAACGGGATAAACTTAAAGGAGGTTTTCTCTTTCACGTGCCTAGGCAGCATCGTTTCAACTATAGACAGCACAGACGAGGATGTCAAAGCAGCCAGGATCGAAAAATGGAAACAGACTTTCAATAACCTAAAATCAGTGTGGGGATCTACTGCACTCAGCGCAAAGAACAAGATCCAGATTTTTAGCACCAATATCAAGTCAGTGCTGCTAAAGAGTTCAGGCGCGTCACGAAAAGCATTTCTAACAAACTACAGACATTCATCAACTGCTACCGCCTACACCTACTCGATGCTGGAGATCAGATGGCCAGAATAGTAAGAATAAGCAACAGAGAACTTTGGTTGTCTGGCAACGAAGAAACTGGGAACCCATCGCTCAACAAATATGCAGTAGAAGAAAGCGGTGATAGACTGGGCATACACGGAGAAGGCCGATTGGTGACATCACGTGCCAGGCCAGGCCCTCGAGTGGAATCCAAAGGGAAAACGATGAGTTGAATGTTCCAGCTGAGGGTGACATGGAGGAGGTCATGTGAAGAAGGAATGAAAGCTTGTGGGCTTTCGTGGCGCCAAGTTCAAAAGACAGCAGAGAACAGAGTGAAATGGAGGCGTGCTACTGAAGCCCTACATTCCACTAGGAACGCAAGGGAAAAGTAATATAAAATATAATTAACATATCCGCACAACATATACATTGGAAGAATCCCAATTTCTAACACAGACGCTCACTGAAAACACATATCCTATGAAGTTGGTCAGTAGTGATAAATACATCTCAACGGTGAGATTTAATCAGTATTCTATCCAGAAGAAGGATGTTTACATCTACCAATGAGGGGGAATCAAACAGCATGATCTTAAGAAGAAGACTTGACTCAGTAACTGTAAAGACATCACGCAGCAAAGCTCATTATTATCGAGAAAATGCAACCTACACTTCAAGATAAGCTTTATCACAATATAGAAGATTGGATGACATCCCGCTGTGTATACCAGATAATATGTGTGCGTGGTGACTTGTACATTGGGAGGAGTAATTGAACTATGAAGTTGAGGGTGGTAGAGGATATTCCTAAATGGCTGGAAAAACAATTAAATTCAAATAATCCGATGAATACAGGGGACAGACAGAATTCATCGTCGATAGGTAAACACATTATGGAAACAGGCCACTGGATTGACCCCAAAACAGTGTTTGGACAATTTTATAGGAGCCGTCAAGACCGTACACATAGGTTCATTGAAGCCTTAGCTATACAGAAGTTCAAACTCCCTTCGTGCATTCAATAACAATTTTTCCTTACTTTATACCTACCTTGGTAATTTTTATCTGATTTTAATGCCAAGGGGAGGTGTGAAGATGTATTATTCCTCCTTATTCTCACCATATTTTCCAAATCTTGTATTAACTTTATTTATCTTACCCCACCCTTATTTTCATGACATGACATGTACATGTGTGGTCGAATTGTTCGAAATGGACTGCTCGAATACGTCACATTTCTCAGATAATCTTGGTCTTCTTATTAAACTATACGAATTCATCAAAGTGACTTAAACAAAACTAGTCAACTTCATTATGTCAATAAAACAAAGGTAATCTCTGAAAAGTTGGTCAGTAACAAAGTTAAATTTATCATGATAAACAATAGTCACAAGTGATCATTCTGTTCCAAAAAAAGATATCAAAGTGAAAAATAATTCAAATCTTTTGACTTTATCAAAACGTTAACCTCTACAGTTATCATAGAGAAGATTATTGGATAGAGTTAGAGATGAAGAGATTTCTAGAAAATTATATCTTGTGAGTTAGTTTGTTAACTTTTTGTTTAAAAACAAAACATTCATTTATTCGTTCATCAAAGAAAGGGTATTATTAATGAAATTATATAGTTTACTAATAGTAATCATAACAAAAGTAATTGCCAGGAAACATTAAAACAAATCTCTGGTTCAATATTTCAATAGAAAACTAACCAATCTGCAAAAAGGAAAAGAAGATGCATGTATAAAAACATTTTTTGAGGTTCATACAAAGGAAATGAGATTCAGAAAAGAAAAGATATTAAATGTTTTTCCATTCATTAATTTGCTATCAAATAATAATAATAATGATAATAATATTGATAATTTGATACCAATGGTAAAAAAGGTCATTTAAAAAAAGTTAACAAACAAACAAAAGAATGAAGGATTGAAGAATTAGAACATTTTTTGGTAATGTTTCAAGAAAATCAAAACTGACAATCTATCTCATTTGTACAGATGATATTAGATATGCATATATATACATGGAATTGGTCATCAGCTTGGTGCAAAATAAAAACACACATTATATGCATGATTTTATCTTATTAAATGAATATAGATCAAAATATGCACAAATTAACATCAACAGATAGATTGGTACATATACAGATAGATCAGTGAAGATGTAAAGCACTTTTGTGATTTCTTTGACTATAGATTTGTGTATTCAGTTTTTGTTAATCATATTTATCCGTATTCAATTGCCAACGATATCTAGGTAACTTCTTTTGTTAACAGTTTATTCATCTAGATAATATATAAATAAAGATATATAATAGTATGATCATATTTCATAAAGTCAATTTTTATCGCCATTGTTCAATGTGCCTTTTTTTAATTATCCATGTTAAAGGTTAGGAAATAGAATAGGTTAAATGAGCAGGATACTAGGAGCTAGTAAACTAAATTTCTCATCATTTCGTACTACAGTGAAAGTAAGGTGTATTTTGTGTAACCTTCATACCTGTCTAAATATTGTGACAAGCTCATTGGATCATTATTCATGTTGCTTTAGAGTGAAACATGAGCACAATATGGTTCATTCATTGATTAATTATCAAGAATGAACCTGTGTCGCTGTTGGCTATCATATTTTATTAATATAGGAGTAAAGCTTAGGCACAGTAGCAGACAGTAATTCCATTTTAGTCTGTTTATTAGGAATGTCACATAGTGAAGCAACAGTATCATTTACTCGATAACGTTTTGGATACAATTTATGATCCATATTCATACCGGGCAACTCCACTACTTTCAGACAGAGTTTATACGGTCCCAATTTTCTCTCCTTCTTTGTGATGGCAAGCGTAGTAAAATTTTTTCACATATTGATATCCATATGAAGGTTGAGCTAGCAATGGTGGAATGCAAAATTATACGAACATAAGACGGAAGTTTAGAGACCGGTATCTATAGAAAACATTCCCATTCGAATCGTTACTCAGGCTTCGAATCCACCCCCACCACATTTCAGTTAAAGTAGGCTTAGTTAAATGCCTCAGTAATAGGGCGAAAATGCTTACTAGTGGGCCAGAAAATCTACAACAAGAAATTAGATATATGAAGAATACCTTGCATCTCAATACTAACCCACCTAAGTTTATAAATAAATTCGTGCGAAGTCGAAGGAAAAATATTAGCAGTAGTAGTAATACAGGTGTTATTAATAATTATTCTGCTGCTAATAGTAATGATGGTGACAGGGTTGAGAGTGAATTCAAAGTCTCTGCTGTGTTACCTTATAAGGAAGGTACCCCAGAAGGACTAAGAAGAATTCTCAATAATGCTGGGATTAAACAGACTGGTATTTAAACCGACAAACTCGCTTAGAAACAAGCTTTGTAGGTTAAAAGATCCTATCGATGCAACTAAAATAATCTGGTTTACCAAATCCCTTGAAATGATTGCGAGGTCAAATACGTAGGTCAAAGTAGTCGACCAGCTTCAATTAGAATAACAGAGCACAAAACTTAGCTAAGTCAGGATTAGTAGATCCTAATAAGAAGAAATTTAGAAAAAGCTCGGCCATAGCTCTGCATGCAACTGAACACAATCACACAGTAGGATAGGATAGATCGACAATGTTGAAAAGTAACTTAGTTGGGTGTATGGAGAGAGAGAGATTGATAACCAAATCTTTGTTTATCGAATCAACACTAAATACATGCAGTCGAAATGATTCTGCACTTACCCCAGATATATGGAAAATTCTACTACCCTTGTCATCACAAAGAAGGAGAAAAAATTAGGACCGTATAAACTCTGTCTGTAAGTAGTGGACTTACCTGATATGAATATGAACAATAAATTATGTCCAAAACGTTATCCAGTAAATAATACTGTTGCTTCATTGTGTGAAATTTCTAATAGACAGACTGAAATGGAATTATCTATTTCGTTCGTATCAGTACATCAAGTTAGAGGAAGTGGGCTAAATAAAAATCAACATTCTAAGTCAGTAACCGATAAGGTAGACGTTTTGGGTTTCAACCTTGTTTCATGTCACTATGTTAGCAGGAAAAACCTCACTGGTCAGTTCTTTCCTACTTCTGACTTAATGGCTTAATGGGCTGAAGAAAACTGTGTTTGAATGATGTGCATTTTGTCAAATAAAGTGTCTTCCTTACTGTCACAGGCCTATATTTGTCTTCTGTTTTTCGCTGCTGAGTGAATTATCAGGTCTGAGGAAGAACAGTCGCAATTCGTAGCCCATCCAAACATCTAATTACGTTAGTAGTGTTCTCGTATCTCGTATTATTCTGTCAAACACTTCCACTCGATTACTTCATCAAGGTAGAAAGAAACTAGACGATAGACACAGAGGGATCAGAAGTCGAACGATGAGAAGATAACCGAGTATAGTAAATAACAAAATATCAAATGACACTCAAACGGAAGACATTGTATGGGTTCTACTCTGACAAACTTCATTGTGGAGTTATAATTACAGAATATCGAGAAAGGAGTTGAGTTTAATGGTTATCTGTCAAAGGTCATGACTGAAGACGGGATGTTTTACCAGTAACTTCGTCAACGTCTGTGGAGGTCCTCAATGCAGAAAATAATTGCAAGTTCAGAGTTGCATTTCATTAAAAGTACGCCCAAATTTAGGAACTGCTGAATAGAATATACTTTTGAACGAAATCGCTGACAGTTCTGAATTCGTTTATGAAGGGAGGGCACAGCCGTGTACTGATAAAAGAAACGTTATTTCTAAGTTCCACAAATCCTTAATGTTCCTACCAATGTTGAAAGTTAAAACACGTTTGGTATGTTTTACGCGTGAATAACCACCTCTTATCTTGATGTCTAATGTAAACTGATACTAGTTACCGCCGCTTGTTGAAATTATTGTAATGTACTTAGCATTACCATTATTATATTATTATTACTCGTTTCTTGGGTTCGTAGTGGAACATAGGGCTTCAATAGATGTAGCCATTTCACTCTCTTTTCTGGTGTCTTTTTAACCTAGCCTCACGACTGCCGGGAAGCTTTCATTTCTTCCTCACACGATCTCCTCCATGTCACCCTTGGACGCCCAACTTTTGGTCTCCCGTTGGGGTTTCACTCGAATGCCTGGCCTGACGCGTGATGTTCCCGAATAGTCTTTTCAGAGTATGCCCAATCCAATCCATCTCCACTTCCTTCCACTTTATACTTGTTGGGCGATGGGTTCTTGGTTGGCTCGTTGTCAGCCAGCCAGAGTTTCTTTTTGCTTAATTTTATCATTCTGGCCATCTGATCTTCAGTATCGAGTGCGCGTATGCGGCAGCTGCTGACGTATGTCTGCAGTTGGAAATGCTTTTCGTAACGCGTCAATTCTCTGAACCATCACATAGAAGCAATTACTTGACTGACATTAGAGTTGAAAATGTGGATCTTGCTCTTTGTGCTGAGCGTGGTAGATCTCCACACTGATTTTATCTATCATTTGCCCAATGGCTATCAGCAGAATGCCCACTTCATCATGAAGAGGAATTGTACTATGGATTCCATCTGTACAAATTATGGACTAATTATACAGGACTGAACTAATCCATATAAAGACAGTGATGGTATCAGTAAACAGTACCATTCTTTAACAAACATAATAGAGGAATTCAGAAAAATCATTTAAAAGTTTCAAAGGTGATCAACCACCAATCTAACGTCATGTTGGAAGATGTAGACTGCCTGCCTGTGGTCCTCGAGATAATAAGAATAAATGGTCAAAGAGTTTTGTTCACGTGACTGAAAATCAATCACAACGACCCAGATGTCTTCACTCGTTGACTTCTTCTTAAGTGTGAATATCTTAGCTAAACTCTATTTTCAAGTTTTTTCTCTTCATATATACTTTTGTCTACTGTGATATCAGTCGTTTTCGACTCACTTGTTTTTAGTATGCTGTTATGAAGTGTGACAATTCGAACCAACTCACTTCTGTGCCTGGTTCTACGCTGACTTTGTCCGTCTGTGACAATCATATGAAGGTTAGAGTAACAAAGTGAATTAACTAACTTTTCTACGTACAGCTTTATAGGAAACTAATAAGTATTCAGAGCAGTTTTATTAGAGGCAAAATCAAACAAAGGATCATTTGAAATTATGGGGCTTATGAGTCAAACGAATGACTAAGTGATAACATGCTCTCCATGAAACCTGATGTTAGAGAATTCCAGTCTTCATGGGTTCGCTGATGTTCAGTGCTGAAGAGCCTTCAATCAGGATGAAGTGTAGACAGACTTTTATTGGTTCTCCGATTGATGTCGATAAATGATGAGAACTATTTTGAAATTAGTTTATTCAGCTTTTGAATTCTGGTATTATCAGTCAAAGTTATATCCTTGAGGACGGCCATCAATGAAATCTTTCAAACACTTTCCTAACTTTTCGGAAGGTTTTAATCAAAGTTAAACTGACATCTCACTGGTTTCTGGGAATATCAAGAGGCCTTACTAATGTTGTCCTTATTACTGAAGAAGTACAAAACTTTATTATAAAGATGTTTCTTGTAATTTCTAAGGTGGTCTGACTGCGATTTACAAATTTATACTGCGTGATGATTGGAGCTGAAGTGAAAATTAATGACGAGAAAGGATTCCAACCAGTAGCCTTTGGGTTACCAACCTAGTGGTCTACCAACTGAGTTACGAGATCCGACTGTTGATAATGAGATCTTAATTCCACTTCACTCACCAAGGAGTTTTGCCTGACTGCCGTATTCACACTGGCTGTCCAATTAGGAATTCTGATCCCAATACAAATCGAGATGAGTTAGAATGGCAGTGGGATAAAACCTTTGATAACTGAAGTGAAATAAAAATCTGATCAGCAGTTGAGTATCATACCTCAGGTGGTAGAGGAGTAGTTCAGTAACCGAGACGGCAGTGGTTTGAATTCTATCTGGTTTCAGATTTTCATTTCACCTCCAATCAATAATACAAGGCTACTAAACCGAGGCTATCTCAGACAGCCAAACTAAAAATTTTAAAACTGTTTATCCAGTTCGGTATGATTTTACTAACTCATTTAAGAACTAAACTACATACACTGTCGTTAATTGATACTTGTAACCCTTTTTTGCTATACTGGGTTCGAATTGCTCGACATCTGCTGGCAGGTGGGCTCTTATATAGATGCCTCAATTCTGCCCAGGTTATTCATTACATTGTAATCTATTTGGTGACCAGTAGTGGAATCCATGACACGGATTTCATCGGATGAGTACTGGGTCTGAGTTTCGGCGGGAACAACACAACTCA